CTTGATCAAAAGGAAAAGTAAACACAAAGATTGAAGATCAGTTTCAGGAAAGCTGCAATCCAAGAAGCCCCAAATCTCCAGACATTATTTTAGGGGCCCCCCAAAATAATGACAGAAACTTGCTTGCTGGACTACCCCCTTTGCTGGAATGAGTTTGTTGTTTTTCAATATTTTTGAACAAGGGTTTTTGATGGTTTTTGTAAAGAAAGTGCGCACATACTTTTGGGATTTTTTTGGAAGACTCAAAGATTCAAGAGATAATGACAAGGACTTGATCAAAAGGAAAAGCAACCACAATTCCCAAAGGAAATCTCCAATTCTCAAAGGAAATCTGCATCCAAAGACCTTCAAAATCCAAAAAAATCTTTTGCTGCCACTGGAAATCTGCATCCAAAGATCTTAAAAATCAGTAAGCTAGAGAGGAAACATAACAATTTTATAACAATGAAACAATCACAAAAAAAACTATCCCTCAACAAAAAGAGACATTATTCTGGTGTTCATTAATCAAAGGACCACATTACTTTCCCACCACCTCCCGCCTCAAGCTGAGCCGTTTGGGCTCTGGCGATTCCAACGGGCCCCTGATTGTCCACTGCTTGAGGGAGCATGCGATCAGCACGACGGTTCATGGGGCGCGTGACCATGGCTCGGCACGACCACCGATGGGTGGCTGCCGCGGGCTTGGCTGTGGGTGCAACTGTGGCTGGGCTGAGTTAGAGGAAGCCTCCGAGTGATGCCATCCATTTCGATCACGACAGGTTGCAGCTTGAGACATGGACGTCTTTGGAATGTGTCGGTGGTAGGTGCAGGGCATTGGACCTACCAGCCGACATGCTGGTTCAGGGTCGCTGCTTCGCCGAGGTTCTTGGATCGAATGTTCACCCTGTGCGCTGCCACGGCGGCTCATTCTACGCCAAGGAGAATGAGAGAGCCGAAGTATTGTCCCTGAGCTGGTACTAAACCCCCAAGTCAGAGAAGTGCTCAATCTTGCTAGATGCATGGTGTTTATACTGTATGTGTTTATTCTTTACAAGATCGTCGAACATGGTTGTGAGAGACCAGCAGGGAAGAGTATAATACACACACTTGAACATCTTAGAACCTGATCGGCACTGAATTTAGTACCAAATCCTGGTAGACCAGTCCCATCTCCTCGGGTGCCCCGGGGTGTGACCTCACCCGAGGTCCAGCCCGGCGATCGCTTTGTTAATGTCCATCATCCGTGACTTGGGATCACGGGCGCGGGTGCGGGCGCCCGTTGACCGTGGTTGACCAGCGAAAACAGGGTGGCTCTCCGGTGAAAATGGTCCGAAGGTCTTATACCATGTCCCACCCAAGAAAAGTTGGAAATCAGCAACACCAGTTTTGGAGGATATTTGTCCCCACTATACAACTGAACGGAAAAAGGTCAACCTCCATTTTCCAAAGAAACTGAAGTTGGCTACAGCTAGGCTCGTGGATCCTTTAAGGGCGGTCAACTTGGGGGAACGCCGGCATTCCCCATCACTGTCGATGAAGATCTCCTCCCTTTTTTTTGATGCTTGGTTGGAACAATCAGGACCCCCCCCCACCCAGGTCACTCAAGTTCAACGGCTTTTTGTGGGATCTAAATCCTAATTCCTTTCACCAACCACACCAAGCACCGCCCAAGCCGGCGCCATCCGGCGCCATCCGGCGCCGACCCAAAACGACGGTCACCAGTTCGGGCGGGCTCAGGTGACCAACGCACCAGCCAGGTGGAGTTCGTCCGAACGGCGGATCGTTTGATGTCCATTTTGGCGGAGGAGGGTATTGCTCGACTGCCCTCGGTGAAGCCGCAGGTGGGACGGAAAGCAAAAACGAGGTCCGGGGTTGACAGGGCTCACAGGGCTGTGCCAAAAGCATGTTCTATAGCGGGCAATGTGAGGAAGACATAGTACTCGTAACATCTCGTAACCTATGGGCGTCTATATGGGTATGCAGCTTGCTTCTTTTCATGTGCCTAGGGCCTAGGGGTTCCTTTCAAAATCCATATGGCACAGATGCACATGTAGCACTCAGGAATGGAACCAAACCCTTCAAAGACCCGCCGGGCCTTGCTCCCCCAACAGGGCTGTGTGGGATATGTGGTCAAGTGTCATCGAATATGAATCGAGAACCGTTGGGTTTAACTGTCACTTCATTCTCCTCACGTGGGTTGCCTCACAAAAATCCAGCAGTTTAAGAAGCTTTGGCATAATAGGTTTTTTTTCAATCAGCCATGCTTTCCTGGCACAGCGTGGCCTGCCGAAGCGGCCTCCCAAAAGAACCCGTTTTCATCTCCTTCCTCCTTCCTCATCATCTGCGCCCGTGCGAACAGGTTCTCCAGAGCCCCTGCGGCCCCTACAACGGTCTCGCGGTACCGGATGGCCACCAGCTTTGTGCTGTGGACATTGTCCGTTCCGGTGGGATCCTTCTCGAGGCCGTGCGGAAGGCGGGATGAAGGTGGTGTTAGATAGAACGTGGGGAGGATCCGGATCAGGGTGCTGAGAAGGTGTGGAGGGTGAGATTCATGGTGTTTTTAGGTGGTTTTTAGGTGTTTTTTATGTGTTTTAGGTGGTTTTTAGGTGAGATTCATGGTGTTTTTGGAGATGTTTGGGGGGCTGAGGATAGTCCCGGATTGGCTTCATTTTCATTGAGGAGCGGACAAAAATAGGCCCGCAGTTCCCCTAGCTAGTCAGTGGTTAGCCCTGCTACCTGGTCGGTTGGGGGCCTTGAACTTTTAACCCTTTGCATGATGTCTACCTTCAAGATAAGGATAAGTGGAAGAAGGTTGACTCAATCTTCCATATAGAAACTCTTTGGTTCACCAAACGCCTAACAAACAACAAGGTTGCGAGAGAACGTACCCGTCGAGGAGAAGAACACGTCCGACGACCATTGCTTTGGAATGTTTTGGATGCGTTTCACCGCGCCTTAGCATCACTCATTTTCAAGTCATGGCGTGTGATATCTTAACAGGCAACCCATAGGGGCCACCTGACAAGATGTAATTGGTACGCAGCAGGGGATGCCCCTACACTGCGGCACCGTGGGTTTTATTTGTATAGGTCTAACTGATATCAATCAACGTTCTAGGGAACCATCAATTCCCAAACATTACGGGCTCCTTGGGTGGTTTTCTTGGTTTCCCACCATCCGTTCACCGCCAGAACGCCAGTGGCCTCGCAGTTGGTTCATGGACGGTTTTGAACTGGAAAATGTCTTGTTGTTCTCCCTTCATCCCCTCTTTTTTTCGCTCTCTTTCTCTCTCTCTCTCTCTCCCTCTTTTTGGTCGACCTCGACCTGCGGCCAGGTTCTTCCAGAATTGAAGACTGCAAAAATCTTGATCCAGCGGGATGAAGAAACCGCCTTGCCGCAGCTGTTCTACTCCAAGCTTCCAGCAGCCGGGATTGCAAACACGAGCTGTTCACCATATTCCTGAGGGGCGGTTCCATCCTTTTTGAAACAAACTGTGTATTGACTGGGGCCAAGAAAATTTAAGGGAGTTTGCGAGGAATCTGAGACACTCCGCAGATAACGATAATGTGCAGGTTGCAAAGCCTAAATATACGTAGATTCCTAGGTTCGAGGCTGTGAAGGCTTCACGAAAGCACTTTTGGCTAGCAAGGCGGTTAACCTAGTCGCGTGATTGATGGCTGCTGCATTGTCCTACCACACCCCTCCCAGAAAAGCACCTTCCAGGACGGGATCGAAAAGTTGCAAGTGATGCTGTGTGATCCTATGCTGGGCACTGGTGGCTCCGCCTTGTGTGCCATCGATGTGTTGAAGAAAGCTGGTGTCAAGGAGGAGATGGCCGAGTCGACGGCGCACGGGCGCACGTCCCGACCGTGTGAGGCTTCGACCTCCAAAGCTCCGACACGACACGTTTGGGACTGCCATATGTGCCGAGAAACGGCCAGGGGTGGTTGAAGTTTGGGGTCAATGTACCCTTTGACTCACTAACATGGGAAGTGGAAAACCCTCCGGTTTGCAAAGGAAATGCATCTATTGTCCACTTCCATGTGTTCGTCAGATATATGGCAGTCCCAGACGTGTCGTGTCTCGGTTTTGGTCCCCTGATGTCCTACTCGCACTTCCTACATAGCACCCGACTCTACAGGTCTCCTCGATGTTGTTGGACTGTTGGGCCCAATTGGTGACCTGTTGGAGGGTGCTGGTACTTGTCACATTTCAAGAATTCAACCATTGAGCCGAACATGGCGTAGAGAAATGCAGAACCAACTCGGGCCAACACAACTTGCTCGCCCACCGAGTCCCAAGTTGACCGAGGGGTTCCAGGTGGACCAAGGGTACGAATGTAGACGAGCGGAATGAGCTCGGTGCTTTCAGGGAATCACCTCGTGACCGGCTCCAGCGCTTAGCATGCGCTTAGCTAGCACTGTCGCAGGCAGGTCAACTCCGCCGCATCCTCTTCGCAGTGTTTCCTTTTCATTATAGAACCTCCTAATTAATATATCTCCCTGCGTTTTTGTTTGAAGACGTCTCAGACCAGACCATCTGTGAGACACACACACGCACAGCGCCGCGTGATTGAATTGAGGAGAACATCCTCTTCATCAATGTGGTCTCTTGTCCCGAAGGCCTCAAGGCCTTGGCTCAACGTGCACCCAAAGTGAAGATCGTCACCTGCGCGTTGGACACACGGCCAAACTGCTCCGGCTCCCAGCAGCTGGCGCCCAGCTGGCGTGCTTTTTTTGCGTTGAAAGGTTTGGTTCGTGGTGTAGGGTCGGGGGACGGAGGTGCCCAATAAGTAAGATATAAGGTTAATAAGACCGGACCCGGTGATTTGCAGGTGGTTGTTTTCCTGTAGCCAATGGGCTTGGATGGTTTCCATATGCATCCAAATTTTGAGCCACTGTATTTGTGAGTTGTTGCAGTGTCAACGGTGCCTGGTGTTGGAATCTTGCTTTCGAGTGGGTTTGGGCACTCCATTTTTGTAGTCAACGGTTTTTGATGGCAAAGATCATGCAGAACACTTCCTTGGTGATGCGGATATGATACAGGGAGCCGTCCTGGAGCGGGGCGGTCGTGATGCAGAACCAGGACTCAGTGACATGGACACATGTGAGGGCCACCCCCGGACCACCCCTAGCTGAACCCCGTCATATCCACTCGGCCATGCCAGCCAGGTCCCAACCAATGGGCTTTAGTTTGTGGCTCTTGCTCTAAAGGTCGTGATTCGCTGAGCCCTATTCCGCAATGTTCCATCTGTACTCCCAGAAGTTGAGTCTAATCCCTCGCAAGTGGCTTTCATTCGCGTGGTGGCGTGGTAAGAACGTGCGCATTCCATGATATATAGCCATGCCGTGGTTTGCGCGGGTACGTGTTCATATATGTTGATATACAGCCATCGTGATTGACAAAGTTGTGATGCAATAGATTATAGGATGGGAGTTTTTCCTTTGGACAATGACACAGGTATCTATCTGCAGGAAGTGAATGTGCACCCCGATTCATCCCCCAATATTCTTACCATAAAGTGTTGAAACTGATTTTCGGCGCCCCTCCCAGGGGCGGGTCGCTTAAACTGTCCGAATTCACACCCTGCCGAGCCCCCGAAAACTGGGCCTGTCCTGCCCATCGCAAAATTCATGTGAGGATTGGCCAAAGGTAATAAGGTAGGTCAACAATAACAGTCTCCTGGGGCCAAAACCTCCTAAAACCATTCCCTTTCAGGCCTTGAAAGTAAGGGCTCGGCTCGTGATGAAAAACACCTCCCCAAGTCCCCAAACCAAACAGACGCACAGAGCTACCTCAGCAGATGAAGCCCCACACATCCCCACACATCCCCAAGTCCCTCACTGGGCCCCAGTGATTTGGCTGAAAAGGATTCTCATCTCAATGAGAAGTTCTTCATCGTGCCTGGCGTGGGCGACTTCGGGGACCGCGCCTCGGCGTGCGAGGACGTCCATCGGAGGCCTCGGACGTCTGAGGCCTCAGGTGGACAGTGATGGGAGGTCCCCACCATGTGTGGTGGAGAGTTAGGTCAAATCCTGCCCCAAAAAACATGAAAGATCAGGGCACGTGATAAGCATGCTTTAAGCTGCCGAGCTTTGACGATTGGTGCTCTTGGCCCTTAGTCTTGCAATGTTGAAGATTCACAGGGTTTCAAGTGTTTTGTTTAGACCATTTGCGTTGCAGCCTCGCTTGCTATCAGTCAACACTCCTGAACACATTTTGGAACATGTCAAGAAGATGAGTGATATCCAAGAGGGAGAGACGGAAGGCTATCGCTTCAACCACCTCACCACAACGCTCGGCTCACGAGGCTACTATGGCACTTCAGGCTATGCCGAGGGCTTGTGGGGCCAAAATGGCCGCTGACCGGCCGTTGCTAAAGAACCAAAAGGAAGAGCTGAAGGGCTGCAGCTGGTGGCAGAAGATACTTTGCTACTTTGCTCCTGATAGAGAGAGAGAGAGAGAGAAATATTTTCGTGAGCCCCTCCTGGATGTGAGATGATGTGAGTCAATACCAGAATCCCTCACCGCGGAGCTGGCAACCCAGCGTCAACAAAGCCGTCCACAAAAATCAGGCAGACACAGAAAAAGGACTGACGCCAATGTTTCCTATGTCCCATGTTTCCTTTCTGCTCTTGGACCATTTATGTTTAAACGTTTCCTTATTTGTTTTAGACCTATATACTTAAGTTATATATCCTTTTGGACCATTTCCCGTTCTTGGTGAGGCAGGGTCCAAGCCGATCAAGCTGATAGCCAGAACCCTCCCTGAAATGGACATAAACTTGCCGCCCCTAGCGACCCCTAGCTGATAAGACTAAGTGTCCAACCACCGAACTCGACTTTTTCCTGGTGCGCTCTTCAACTCCATGGAAGCGAATAGACATCAAGAACTGAATGGATCCACCGGGCTTTCGACGGCCATCGCCGACGTGCCCGGCTGAATGGACAGCGCGTTTTGCGGCCTTAGCCGCCAATCTCTTCCAACTATACGGATACTTATGCATGATGAAAACGTTATGCCGTGTTCAAGGGGTAATAAGTGACCCCCCCAACATATCCCGACATGGGACCTGGATGTCCATCGTTCACCAGTGAACAGCTTTGTTGCGCAGCAACACAAACTTGAGATAGACCAGTTTGACTATGACCCTTGGTGTTTCACAACATGTTACTGTTAACAATGAAAGAAAAGGGCCTCGCTGATCTTCCAATGTCTCCATGTGAAAGCCTGTAACGCAACCGAGCCCTGCAACCTTCTTCGAAGATGGGGGGTATCTTCCACATCGTGTTTTGCAACACATATTCAATAAAGATCAAAGATCCTGTTTGCCAAATTGCCATGCCGAAGCGCGGGCTTCTGTCCTTTGGGCTGCTTCTAGCCGTTGGTCGGCTGTGGACCTTTTGTGGACTGAGCCAGGCGGAGCCGTTCGCGCCATTGGAGGAAGACAGCGGACCCACCAACACATCCATTTATATATAAGTCATATAAGTCTAAGTCTTGGATCATCATGCCACAATATGAACAGATGTTGAACTGTCTATATGCTATGTCCACGTCACTACATCACACTCCAAGTCCTTTTTGCCTTGCCTTCCTTTGTTGCCCACGCGGTTCACCCTGCAAGACCACCACATCCAAGTTGGAGTATATAAGTAGATCCAAGACCACCACATTGGGGTCTGGTCTTCGCTCGTGTTCATGTTTTTTTTAAAGCTGAACGATGTGGAAAGGCTGACTGCTAAAGTAAGAGATGGAGTTGCGGCTCATAGCCCGGAAGCTTCAGGCGTTAAAGCTTCCGTTCGAGTTTCAGGCCTCATCGTTCCATGCCGGGTTTGCTTCTTTGGTCATTTGGTGGATGCTCAGGGTGAAGGATGTGACCTGTGAGAAGCCTCACGTTCAGTGACCTACCCAGGAAAAGTGGATAACCTGCCGCTGCCCAACCCTTTTGAGGGATTGGTTTGGTTCCCCACAAATTTCAAATAACGAATAGGTGCAAAAATTTTCCAACTGAGGGAGTCAGCCAGAGTCTGCTTCTGAAGAAAGCATGTCGACTCGAAATGTCAGATCTCAAGGCCCTTTAATTGACAGCGGGGGGGTCCATCTGGATGATTGGGTGCACTTCCGCTAACAGCCTAACAGCTTCCCATGACCTACCCGAATTCAACTCGATGGTGTGCCGTTTCTTGCATGGCAAAAGGCCCTAACTGAAGGGCCCTAGCTGAAGAGGACAGTTTACAGACCTGGTCCAAATTAGGTCACCACCCTGAACGCTACTTGAGCCGCCAAGATGCCGCACCACAGGCCTCGCACGATGGCCGCACCACGCGGACGGAGCGCCAACGGGCGGAAGACGCTCAGTCAGAGATCTCAGCGGAGAGGAGCGGAGGGGCTGGGATGTGGCATCTATCAAACGCATGAAGGGCCAACATGCATGAGCAGAAAGTCGAATTGTCGTCTCAGTGGATGTAATTGTATAAGCAATACTAGTTGTATTGGGTGCTTGTTGAGTGAGGACTCGGACCTTGTGCCGCTCTATTGGTGAGTTACGATGACCTTGTGCCGCTATCCGCTGCACAGCCTCCAGGAGCGAAGAGTTGCTGATCGCACTGGGTCGAAATCTTTGGGCGGCGGCCGACGTCGCTCGGGGTGCAGAAGATCAGAAGCAACGAGGGAAGAGACAGTCTGGTCGAACGAGTGGGTTTGCTTGGGGAAGATCGGTTTTTTCTTGGAAGCAACCTGCTTTGATGTTCATCGGCGCATCGGCTTTTCCCGGCTTGAAGGTCAATGATGGTCGCCAGGATTCTGGGAAGACTCCACCAACCATTGGGAGGACCATGATCACATATGATCACCAAAAACCTTGAAAGCCCGGGGATCGGCAGTCACTACTACAAGTCACTAGATACTTATTGTGTTTTTCCTTATTTTTTTATGTTTTTTTCTGATTGTCCACTGGAGGTTAGGGCATTCTCCTACTTGGATGTTAACAAGCCAGTTCGATAAGTGCACCCCCATGATTTTGTAGGCAACTTTTGGAGAACACACAATCAACCACTCAAACTTTGAACTGGTGTCCCCCACCAGCAGGACTGCTGTGGGTAGGGCTGAGTAGGGGTAGGAGCGACTTACACAGAGGCAGCCCTTGGCCCTTGGCCCACACATTTCAAGGTGCCCGGGTGTGTCACTGACAGTCGGTATTTTTCATGAAGTGCTTAGCAATAACCAGACGTTCGATGTATTGAACAGATAACGTATATATCGTCATTGACCCCTCTTTGGGAACTGGAAAGCTCAACAACTTCCAATGTCCAGGGTTCCGGAAAATTCACCTAGCTTCTTGCGGTCCTTCTTTGGAACTCCTTCATCCCCAGGACCATCCAAAAAGCTTTTTTCGCGGGGCCTGTAGACTGTGGCTCCTTCACTCCGCTTACTCCCTTTGTAAAGATTTGTATAGACCCACGTCAACCAGGCTCAACCCGGTTGCGTCCGCGTCCGCGTCCGAACTCACTTCGACCGGTGCGCGGCCTCGAACGGCGGCGAGTCAGGAGCTCTTGGAGGTGGGGACTGCGAGTCGGGAGCTGGTGAAGGGAATGGCAAGGAGCAGGAAAAGAAAGCCAGTCAGGCTTCCCCCACGAAGATTTCTGTAAAACAAACAGGGTCCCGAAAAATGAGTTATTGTGCACATCCTCTACTGGAATCTTGGCACCTACCCCATTGATAGGACATCCAAATTGCTTTGTTGTTTGTCTTTCCGCTTACGATTGGAGGAAGAGCTCTTGGGCCCTGGGCTGCTTTGAGCTCTTGTTCGCGCTGGAGCTGTCATGGTTGGTACGTTTTAAACATCCGTTGTGGCCTTCACTGGTAGCGGGGTTTGGTTGTCCCAAGAGACCTGGACAAGACACTTTTGGTTTGTTTGTACGCATCACAAGCATGCTTCATTGACCTTGTGAGTGCATGCTGCAAGATCAGCGTTCAGAGGTGTAGGAGAACCCGCTACCTTGGCAGTGATCTCTTTCTCTTACCTTGGAGAAGATCACAGAAGCCACCTCCATGGGGTCACATCTCAGTCAACTAAACACACATTTGTTGTACCGTGGTTTGCCATCCGGAACCACTTTTCAAAAGCAAAGCAGGGCACGTGCCCTCGTCCAAGCCTCACCAGGTGAGTGCCCTCCTGGCTGCCGCGCCTTTGGGCCTCCAAGCCCTGGACGTCCGGAAGTTCTCCCCGCAGGGCCTCGGGGCCGCCGCGCTGGCGCTCCGCAGCGCAGCAGATGCTCGGATTGGCTTCGCAGACTCGGGATGGGCATGAGGAACCTAGGACCTAGGCTCAGGAACCTGAAGGTGGAGAACCCCCTGAAAGAGCATGACCCATGACAAGCGAGTGGTAGATTGATCAAAACATTCAAAACACCTGAAAGGGTGGATGATGGACCACTCCCCTGACACACCATCACCTGCCAAGTTGATTTCATTCACTTGGAGAACTAGCAGTTCCTTTTGAATCATCACGCAGAATCTATGGATTTTTGGGGGGCAGAATCCACACCCTCCGGTCTCGGGGTTCATATTCTCTGATCCACTCCATTCCTTGATCTCCGGCCATCTCTGGAACTCAGACAGAGGATATGATGCTGGATGAGGATTGGGAAAGCGCCATGGGAGAGCTAGAGGCGAGGCCGGTCCCGGAAAAATGGCGGGTCTATCTAGCGCGAGTCAAGCGCGAGTCAACCTGGTCTATCGCGGTCTTCAGTCTACACCCAAGATGCTAAATTTATCGTGTGTGCGAGCCCACATGTAGCGCATGATGCCCGTGCGCGGCTGTGAACTCATGTCTGAAGGAGGAAATTGTTGGTTCTGGTTTCCTGGCACCAAGTTTTCTGGTTACTCCTTTGGCTTTCTTCAGTGCTTTGTATCAGTCAACTTCTGGACATAAGAGAATCTGAACCTGGACGTTCGGAAGGCTTCTATGTTTGTCAGTGCGGAGACTATAGTGACAAAAGTGCAGCAGCAATTGATGAATCTCCTTAGAAACATACCATGTGCTGTGTCTCGGTCCCCCCCGGAGCGCGGAATGCATCTAAGTTGGGAGGCACAAATACGACAACCCTAGGGCTCCAGTCGCATATCCTCAGGTTCGGTGGTTAGACCCCCCTGGCACCCAGCCCTGGCCCATCTTCGAAACGGAGGTGGGCCAGGAGCCCTAGGGCAAATACATGTCCATTGAGCAATGTGTGGTGAGGTCGTGGTGACATGTGGTAGGGACTCTACTGCAACGAAACCATTTCTGTGTGTCGTTTATTTTGAGTTTACATCTCCCCTATGCGGCTGCAGGCAAGCCATCAGCTAAGGCAAACTTGGTTAGTTTCTGAGTGCAAATACTTGTTGCCCGGCCACTGGAACCGCCTGGAAGGTGGATGACCCCGTAAACATGTTTGGCTCTCGAGACCTTGTCGGTCCTGGTTGGCACTTATGAAAGCTGTTTCATTCTATTGGACGGATGAACGTTGGTCAACTTGCAACTACCTGGACCATGCACTACTGAGTCACTACTGCGTCAAGTCACAGAAATTGAATGGCAAACAGATGCCAACACTTCGCCGGAATCAAGAGAACTTCGATGTACAATCATGTGTAATCCTCCTGGAGTGGATATAATGTCCTCATGTTCAACAAATGCTTAGGTCAAGGCCAAAACATAGATAGAATGTGGATTTTAGCGAATGATTATTTTCATCGAGAAGTTACCGGAATCTCTGATCAAGAGAAGAATGACAGATATATTCACACACATTCTATCAATATTCTATCTATGGGTGTCACCAACCGCCCAGCGGGCTCGCCATCCCCCTTTTCCTTCCCTTTGTTCGGCCCATGGTTCACTGCACGATGTCCTTAAGAAGTGGTCGTTTGCCAGAAAAACAAGAAGACGAGTAGGAAAAGGGCAAGAAAGAAAGAGGAAAAACAAAGGACAGTTGATAACATTGATAACATCCCAATATTCTATCTATGGCATCTATGGGTCATTCTTTCATGTGTAGTATTCGTGTCCAAAACCATCAGCTATTTTCAATCATATGATTTACATTTTTACCATCTAATTCTATCTATATACTCAAGGATGATTAGTAGTATGATTAGTGTATACATATAGGTCACGCCTTCTATTATTACGGTAGTCCGGACCTTTTGCCAGAACCCTGCTTTTTAGTTATGAATTGGATCAAAACCAGGGTTCTGAGACTGGATCTTAATTGAATCTTAATTATTGCTTAATGGTTTTATTTTTAGTCACTCAATTGAATCTTCCAGATGAGTTGGTAGCTTTAAGGATCGGTGAACGGGGTGAAACGGACTTAACACTCTGCCAGGTCGCTGCCGTCTCCTGCGAGGGCTTCTTGCCGCCCCAAGCCATGCAAGGCGCTGGAAGCGTAACACGCTCGTCCAGTGCGTGTGCCCGCAAGCGCCAGGGGTTTGCTGTTGAAGCGAAGGGTCGGCGTTCTTGGGAGCGAAGCCAAGGGTCGGCGGAGAAGGGGCATTTCTGAGATGCTCCGTTGCAAGGGAATCCAGGTATCAAAAGGTATCAATGGGTGCACGTACGTATGCATTCTTTCGGCTCATATTATATGGGTGCCTTCTTGTACCCTCATCATGTGGGTTCCTGAAGCAAGCAGAAACTGTGAGTGGGTGTTCATGTTCTATTTTGCTACAGGCTTGGAAAGTTTCAATAGGAACCCGCAGCTCAGCAGGATAGTGTCCACTCTGCTCTCAGATGCCAGCTTCCACTAGGGACGTGTGCCTCAAGGCATTCAGGACCTGGTTACATTCTGGACGGACCAAGCAGGGCCAACTCGCAGGGCCAAGTGATTGATGACTCAGCATGCACAATGGCTCCATGGCGGTGGCGGCGGGGTGGCGCAAAAGTTGAAACACAGACAGACCAAGTGTTTCTCATTGTTGACTTTAATGTTCTTCTTCCATAAACTTGTACACATCACAAACATAGGAAACAAGATAGCATAGACTGAGTTCCTATTCATGCATTATGTTTCTAATATGTAATAATTAGTGTTTCTATGTGTTTCTCTATGTTTGCTTTTTCCTTCCAATTTGCTTTGCTTTGTTCATCCTTTTGATCCCCGTTGCCACCGCCTATCGACCACGGAAAACCAATTACATTTGTCTCATTTAGTTTAAGGGTGATTTGACATTGGTCTTAAAAAGAGAAACATGTTGGCACGGATGGATTCGCAAACTTGTCAAACTAGTTTGTTGTTTTAGATAGATAGCATTGTGAGAAAGTTGTTTTTCTTTTTTCACTAGCTGTTCAGATTAAAATACTTGTGCCGACCTTTGGTGTGTGAAAGTCATTTTATTCAACCAATTTCTGGATAAAATGAGGGGTGAACTTCTATAGTCGGCAGCAATGGGGATCCTTTCTTGTTATATTTTAGTTTTGATGATTGCGAAAGCCTGTATAGTGAAAGAACATCCGTTTTGAGACAAAGATCGGCTAGTTTGAGTGGAGTTGGATGTTCCTTAATTGACGGCTGACTAGGCCTGGAAGACAAACATGTGTTTTGATGTCAACATCGAGTACTTTTGACTGGACAGGGTTGTTCTTTTGAGGAACCCAAGATCCGCCAGCGGCTAATCCTTGAGTGGCCTCCCTACTAGATGCAAGCATGCAGTCAACCTTAAAAAGGCATTTCTACATGTTCGCTTCGGCGGATTTGTTGCCCTTGAACGGATGCCTTTTGTTGCGTTTAAGCGGCCACTTCGTAATCGTTTGGGAGATTCGTGCTGAGATTGATCGAGGTCGAGAAGTACGCCTAAAAATTCCTAAAAACATGTCAAAAAAAAAGCACAAACAAAACAAGCTAAATAATCTAAACCAGGGCCCCCGGTTTGGGGTGGTTAATGGACACCCCTTAACCTCTAAGGAGCTATTATTCGACACCCCTTTTTCGGGGGCCCAGGAGGCCGGCCGAGAAATCCCTGCGGGATGGACCAAGAAGGACCTAAACAGCTACAGTTACACAGAATTGAAGTCATTTCGTACTTGGCTTAGGCCGGTTTGTTTGATGCACTTCCATGTTGCGCATGGTTCGCAACAACACGTTGCTGCAATTGTTCCATTCTATGGTGACTAATCCAAGTAGAAACAGGGCATGCCAAGGGAGGAAATCGCATGCCCCACAAAGAAAACCATCCATCTTGAACTTGTGGATGCTCAATGCTCCACGCCACGGCGCTTGCGCTTGAGTTCCCCTCCCATCCTCACCCACGCCAGGCCTTGTGGACTTGTTCGCCTACGAGGAACCCATCCCCAGCTGCGAGTGGAAAGCCGGGAGCCGATCGCTGAGCGTCTCGGCCGCCGCGGGCTTTTCGGCCGTTCCGTCGGCCCGTCGCAGCGTTCTTCCCGGGCGTGGGGGGTGACCGGGGGGGGGGATCCACTACTGAGGACGCTTGTCGCGGAACTTGGAGAATGTGATCTCCCGGCTGGGTGGCTTGGAAGACAGCCAAAAGTGTTTGGTGGGGGGGAGATATTTTTAATGAGGGACGGGATGGGAGGAAAGCAGATATATGGAAGAAAACGATCCATTATGTTGATAGTATTCGTGCAATTTGCGGTATATGCCGGCTTTTATCCAAAAAGATCGGGAAGATGAACAGTTCTGGGGACTAGTTCATTCAGTGGCTCAGGTGAGGGCGAGGTGGTGAATTCCTTGCTGCGCGCGGCGGAAGCCTTTCGGGATGCTGGGCAGCTTTTTACCGGAAGCTTTAAGATGCTTGGATTTGGGATAGGTCCTGGGTGGATGATGTGCCGACCTATCCCAGCACCGGTGACTGGCTATTTGTAGATATTGTAGTGCTAACCGCCAAACAGGAGTGTTCTCGCGGGGGAGACAAATAAGACCCGCATATCCAAATATATGTCTTCAGGCGGCTGGTGGCCACTTTATTGTGGCAACGACAGATGTGCCAACAAGTTGTCATTCTTCCATCCCGGCCTACAAATACAGCACTTGGTGCCTGTTTCCAAGTTTGCTTTGAGAAGTGTTTGGAAGGCGTATTCCTATTGCAGCGAGGGCGTTGACGTCTTTGACTGCCTCAGGATGCCCCCAGACCCACGGATCTACCGCGGACCGCGGGGGCAAACGCCACGAGACTTCTATGGCAGCTTCTACCAGCCGCCTGAGCCTCAATATGTGGAGGACGTCCGGGGGGGCCTCTTGCAGAAAGTGCAGCTACCGAGGTGCCAGAAGCTGACCAAAACGGAGCAAAGTCGGATGATGGGACGAGACAAGGGGGGTCTTTATACCACATGATGCAACCACCTCCATCAAGACTCCAGGGGGATGACCGATCCCCATCTAAAGAGGAAGCATTGGCGAGATCTTCTCTTCTCACGACCTGGAACCAATTCCATCCAATTCCTATCTTTTCACGCAAGAGAAGAGCTATGACTGACTGGTACGTGCGACGAAAGCAGGGAATGAGGGTGGCTGGATCCAATAGAATCTCTATTGGGGGGCTTATTCCATTTATTCCCTACTAAGCATGCTTAAGCAATTCTTTGTTTTTGTTCCTTCATGTTCACCCCATTGGTGCCGGCGTCATGGCCGGTTCCGACCCGTCAGGACGCTCCACCCGGCAGCCCCGCTGGGCAGCTCCTGCAGTCGGTGGCGGCGGAGTTGGAGGCAGAGACCACGTCCGAGGGCCGGCGCTTGCTGCTGCGGCGCCTGGTGCGGAAGCTGCATCCGGATCAGAACCGTGGGAAGGACGGAGGGAACCGTGGGAAGGACGGAGCTGAAATGTTTGATTCACGTGCTGAGCATGATGGGACATTGGGGGTGACATGCGTAGCATGATGCTATGCAATGAAGGCCGCTGAACAGGCCTTCTAAATTGGAGTTTTGGAGCACTATTTGCCTGCATGACATTTCCGCCCAGGGTCTTTCTGTATAATTGCCGGAGCGCGTTCCGGTCCTGTCGCTGGAGGTTGGAGGTTTGATGCTCACCGAGATAGATAAGCTCACCCAGGTGGAAGTGAATTGAACCACTTGGAAGAGAACAGCCAGATGCCAAGATTTGGCAGATTTGAGAGTGTTTTCAGATGTTTTCAGTGTTTCAGCCCGATCCAGCGGCTCCAGCGAGCTACTGTAAGCTACAACTTCCATTATGCCCCTTCACCCACTTGGGTCTTTGCGTCCCCCCACCTCCGGCACGATTTCGTCGTCCCAGGAGGACGAAGTCACGCCTGCCTTCCGCTACATCCAACGGATCCGTTCACAAGAGATGGATCAAAGACGATGAAAAAACAGGAGTCTGCAGGGGCCGCCTCTGAGAGTCCCAAAATAGACCATTTCAATCGATGTTATGTAAATCCATGGTCAAAATTTCATGTTCCCCTATGCTGGGGGGTGGAGGATGGTCAATGATGGCGGATGACCCCCAGGTGAACTCCAAAAGAGTCCATTCTGGGCAACCACTCCTCCTGCGCGATCGACTCGTGCGACGTGGTTTTGCAAAGAGAAATCCGTGGTTTTGCTCCATGGGTCCAGGCATAGAAGGATTAGAAGGCGGAGGGTCCTGGTGTTGCTTCCTTGTATATAACTTGGTCTTGGTCTTGTTGAAGGCTCCGAGAGAATGTCGTGAATCCCCTTTTGGTGAAGATAAGGGTTAATTATTAATTGTCCGTTTTCTTGAGCAAACCCAAAAGGTTATCAATGGTTCTCAACTAAAACAGGACTCAAAAACGACTAGTCAGTTCCTATCAGCAAGTGGGGCCACACCTGGTTCTACTTCTGGATAATTCTGGCCTGATTGCGCCATTGTTTCCTATGGTGGGCTAACGACACAGATCACAATATCACAACGGCAGCATCGCAGTAATGCAATTGACCCCTGACCTGTGTAGGTGGAGGGTGGAAAGAAGGTGGAAGAGCAAAGTGACGAGAAAGACATGGGCATGTCTTACGACCCTTGGCGAGAGGAGGGTGCTCTCCCAATTGCGTTGGAGATGGTTGGTGTAAATCCTTTAAGTTAGCAGATGTCAGCAGTTTTAAGAGCAGGTCCTAATAATCGACTTCGGAGCTGGACGTTTGGAGAAGCCTCCAATCAAACAAGTTGTTGGATGAGTGATGTTATATGCCGCATGACTGCAATCAAACCGACAATTGAGCACACCGCTACAAGGAAACAAATCAGGGTTTAGACAAAAAACAATTGCTAACATTGATGACCAATACCTAAATACAAAATACCTGCCCCAAAGAACAATGGGATGATACTTTAAGGAATAGTAGGGGTTCCGGACTTGACTTGTTAATTAGAACTTGGTTCTTGATAAGAGGACAGGGGCTGACAGGGGTTAAAAAAGTTAGAAAAGATAAAAGAGAGACAAAGAGAGAGAGAGAGAGAGGGATAGAGAGAGAGAGAGAGAGAAAGAGAGAGAGAGAGAGAGGAAAAATAACAACGGCATTACCCTGGAAGTTAGAAGGGTCCATAATGCTGGGTTGCCAACTGCTCACCGTGCTTTAGCTCCAAGAGTAGCTCCAGGTCAGGCCAATGGTGCTCAATTGAAGCTGTAGGGCAGGTCCACCCCAAGTGCTTCCTCTTTGTGGTCCCCTCCAAGGAGACCATTGCCCCTGAGCAGGAATGATGCATACAGGCCTACAGTTGAAGGGTCCTCCAGGACCTTTTAGCCCAAACTTCAGACAACGTGGCCTTGCTGTATACTAGTAGCTTCTTGCTCCGTTCGTAGCGATGCCCTCTTGTTACTAGTAGTAAGGCCTTACTAGCGCCACTAGTAGCTTCTTGTTACTGCCTCTTAACACATTATCTCTTCCACCAGGCTTCTCAGGAATGGGTTTACAGGATCCGAAGCGCCTTCTCCTTCCAACTGCTCTTACGCCTCACGGCGTCAGGATGAGCTCGGCGATTTGGGACATCTCCGGAAGGCGCGGGAAGGAGGAAAGCCAATGGCGGAAGGAGAGTGGCCAGCCAGTGTTGGGGAAAGAGGTGGGAGACTATCGCTGCGAACAAGTAGTATCAGTATTCGTATGTTAGTTTGTCTGGTATTTATCACTCAATGGTGTAATGGTTTGCCGACAAGCTTGCGGCCCAAAAAGACAGCAAGGACTCGGACCCAAGGATTCTAGTGACAACGCCCCTGGACCTGACATTGGAAGTGTGATCTCAGCATCCCATGACCTCCAAAGCATCAGGTTACACCAACACCTCTCAAGAGTCTAAACGAGGATAGGTGGGGCCTATGTTTCTTTGTTAGTGGCACGAGCATTGTATCATTATTGTTCCTTTTGTTGCGTGAGTAGAAGCTGCACACCGTTCGAAAATCGCTGCACACCGGATGAGTCCTGAGTGCCAGCGTCTCACCCCCTTCGGTCAGGTGGAGAAGTGCGGGCCCCTCTCCACCTTCCTGAAGCTGCGACAACTTTGGTCCCACAAGACGGCCGACTGGACAGGGCCGCAGGAGAGGTCGGAGGGCTGGGTCGGTGGTTTTTGGAGGGACAGTGCGTGGCAGGGGGGGTTGAAGAGCAGGATATTGGTATCGGAGTGTAGATGAATACGGATTTTGATTGGAACGAGAGAGAGTGAGAGAGAGGGAGAGAGAGTAGATGAACGCAGGTCCCGTTCCAAGTGTCCAATTATGTCCAATTTCTAGACCACCACAGGGTGCCTATATATATCACTATATATATATATACACATTCATTAATAGATAATACACAAATATATACTAAATGCAATCAGCTGGATGAACTGGAACGTGTGGATGGCAATGATTCACTTATATTCACCGTGGTTCACCTATATTCATATATAGTCGACGGCTGTAACCACTGTAACCTCTACAGGTGGGTCGATGTGTTTGGTCCCGAGGTTGGTTTCTGCGGTCGATCGTACCTGCGCCATGACATCGGTCCGACCGTCCTCCGGTGCCGATGTTGGACTAAGTTGGGGCCGTTTCTTCTTGGGGAGTTTCAGAAAGATCACGAGCCCAGGGGTATATCACCTTTTTGCCTAAGGAATTACATTTTTCGAAGGAGATTCATCAATTGCTGCTGCACTATATAGTCACTATAGTCTCCGCACTGACAAACATAGAAGCCTTCCGAACGTGCAGGTTCAGATTCTCTTATGTCCAGAAGTTGACTGATACAAAGCACTGAAGAAAGCCAAAGGAGTAACCAGAAAACTTGGTGCCAGGAACCCAGAACCAACAATTTCCTCCTTCAGACATGAGTTCACAGCCGCGCACGGGCATCATGCGCTACATGTGGGTTCGCACACACGATGAATTTAGCATCTTGGGTGTAGACTGAAGATGACAGAAATCAATCTTGAGATCTCCAGACACGCCACGGTGGTCTTGCTTTTTCGCTTTTGTAACGCTGTTCTCCGCTTTCGCGGTGCAGGACAACGACAAGGCCATCACCCCGTCGATCCGTGTGAAGGTTCAGCCTCAAAGCTTTGATGAGAAGGTAGCGCAGAAGGCCCCAGGGTTCGTCCGCTCCCGCTGTGGGGAGAAACCGAAGGGCTCATGCCTTCCATGAAAGGGCTGGACATGGCCTGGATAGCGATGACCTTACTAATAGCGATACCCTTGCTGCTAATGAAAAGCCCGGATGATCTGAAAGCTGATTATGACTTATTGAGACCCTCTATTTGATGAGTCCGATGGGGAGGTGTTGGACGAGTTGACCAAAACACAGAAGCGCTGGGCGCTGTGACTTGGGTTTCTTGTGCTCTGACTTGGCACGGCCACACTGCAGGACGCCCTGTTTTGGACACAGAGTTATTTCGAGCTTGCCAAATTGTAGGATGGACATGGACCAGCTGGCGGAAACGCAGGAACAATTGCGATCACTGGTGCATGTTTGAAGGGCATGGCCACTAGACTGACTGCTTATAGTATTGTGCTGGAGTTTCAATCCCAAACCTATAATAACATATAATGACTGCATTCTACCAATGACCCACAACCCTCCAGCAAATTCCTGTTTGTGCCTCTCGCCGATCCGACCTTCTTCTTGTGGTCGTCTCTACCTGGCGTCAGGTGAAGGACTTCTACTTCTACAATGCCATCAATCGACACAAGACGCTCAGATGAAGCCTTGTCCTCCAGGGTGAGAAAACGCTCACGCCCACGGAAGACGTCCATGGCGTGAAATCTGGACACGATCTGGAAGGATTTGATGCTGAACAAAGGAGGGCCTCTCCAATGAACATGTGTGGAGAAATCTGTGGCGTCAAGGCCGGCAGAGCATATGTTTAGAGCCATATATTCATAGTTATATGTAGTGTTATATATATATATATACACATATTGGACCTAATGGATGCGATAGATCGTGGAACAACCCAGTGTTAGTTTTGGGTTTGCTCTCCTCCAGAGCCTCCACCAAATACAGTACGTATGTACTCCACGCGTTACTCCACGCGGAGACAGGACCTTGCCGGATCAAGTGACCCCACTTGGTCATTTTAGGGTAGCTTCCCAATCAGCAGCCTTCCAAGTGTATCATAGTTTATCCCATACACTGGCGTATTGCTATATGGCATGGGACCCAACTTGATCATTTGGGGTCACAAGTTGATTTGATGCATTGCTATTATATTTGCTCCATATATGTATATATATAGAGAGATGCAATCATATGTATTCTCCAACGCAGCCCGAAGGTCCGCTCCACCGTCCGAACGCCCTTCCAGTGGCACTGAGCAGATTTGCTCAAGCAGCAAGCAGCTCAGGATGACCACCTTGACGCCCTCCTACCATGCGGAGAACTACTCCCCGGACGACAACCGTTTCGTGGATTGGGCCGGTGGGGTGAGGAAGGTGTTCTTCTTCCGGTGAGGTGTATAGACCTACAGTAGTCTACAACGAGCTACACACAAGCAATCACAAGCAGAACTTCTCGAGAGAAGGGTGCAGCAATTCGTGAATCAATGGGTTTTCCAGCTGCCCTCTCCCTCAGTAGAAGGTCCTTTGAGGTGTGTGGAAGGCTTGTTAGGGCATTTGTCATCAGTGTTTTTCTGTGGGACATCTATCAACTTGGACACGGGATTGTCGCTCTTAGATGTTGATTTTCCGAGATCCCATTATTGTTCACGAAGGGAGACGAAGGAAGTCCTGATTCAACATTTGCTACAGTGGTTTCAGAGGTTTGATGGCGCAAACCCAAAGATGTCTTTTGTTGTACGGGGGTGCATATAAACCCCCTTTTGGGGATTGTGCCATCTACTCTGAAACCACGGTATGTTCTTCATGGCGTGGTCCAGAACCCACTCTTGATATGTTGGGTCCAACCCTGGGACTGTGACTGAATGGTGAGACAGGGAGAGAGGAGATATGTTGCTCTCGACATCTCTCACCTGAAGATTACGGCTGGTTGCTGATTTTCTATGATTTTCTCACCAGGTGCTGTGGCGAAGGGACATGGCCTAACTTGAGCGGTCCATATCCTCACAAAACAGCTTGTCGAACATGCGCGTTCATTCCTTCAGTCAGTGCTTTTCATTGGTCCCTTATATATATATATATATATGTTCCTTCTATTGCTTTTTGGAGAGGCCTATTGCTTTGCAGTTGGGCAAAGCATGATGACCATCACTGAGGCTTTGATCTGAGACCTTTCCTTTTCCCAGCAGCTTTTGAAGCGCAATTCGAAGCGATCGATGAAGTGGTGAAAGCATGTAAAGGATCCTAGGCACCGTTTGGAGACTGGGCTCCTCTGGCATCCGCCATACACTCGCTTGAGGCGCTGGTTCATCTCCCGGAAGTTGAAGAGAATACTCTAGCTTCCAAAAGCAGCAAAGACGTGGTTGAGCTGGATCTTGTAGTGTAAAACCCTGATAAATAGAACAGTGGTTGCTTGTTAAACAACATTGAACAATCAATGGTGGTTGGAATCCTAGGTCAGAAATCATCAACATTTTCTCTCATGCATCATTTTGGATGTGAAACACATGTGGAAACCCTTCAACGTCGGGAGATGGCGAAAGGCATGGCATCGCATCGATTTCTGCTAAAGAAATGCTCCGATTCGCATCGGGCGGAACGCCAGAGCACCGGGCGCGCCGAGTGATCCGCGCGCACCGCACCGCGACCGGTCAGGATCGGTCGGAGCCGCCGAGGCGTCACCTTCTCGGCGCAAGTGCCCGTGGGACGGCGCCTGGGCGCGGACGGAGTGGTGGGAGGGTCTCTCTTGGGCGTCTCTCAGATTCTAGCAACCTGGATCTGGGTAGAAGCCGAACATAGACGAACTCAAAATTTCTGATGTGACAAGAGCACTTCAACTTGTGTGATTTCGAGGGTTTTCTTTATGAGAGACAGGTAAGGCAGGTAAGGGTAAGACCCTTAGGGTGGCCCTAGGCCCTAGTGAGCCATCTAGTAGCGATGCCCTTCGTTACCAGCAGCTTCTTGTTCCTAGTCGCGATGCCAGGAGCGCCCCTAGTAGCTTGTTGCTCCTAGTAGCGATGCTGTTGGTTGACTCCTCAATTGTTCTCAGGTGGGTGGTTCCTATGGCACCTGTTCAGCGAGGCTGGTGCCGCTGACGCATCACTTGGTTGGATGGAGATTGAGGATTTGACGATCACTGCAGTGGGGGCAAGCATCGTCAATGGACCTTCAAGGTTTCCCATGGTTTCCCTGAAGCCTATGGACTGTAGCACTCCAAAAAGTTTGTGACAACCCCATCCGATCATCAAGTAACGACGCTCACCCTTCAACACAACCAGCCTCTTCATGATTCTGAGGCCTTCGGGTTTCAACTTGGGAATGAATGTGAACAGAAACTCTATGATTGATGATGAACTGTCAGCAGTCCCCAGGTACATGGTTTTCAGGCACGTCAACTCATGTGTCCCGTTCGGTTCATGGTGCTTTTGGGGGGGTGGAGTTGTCAAGAAGGCTGTGATACCTATGGTCATAATCGCAGAATTGGCTGGAGGATTTGCATTCTTGGTCCGGTCCTTCAGGGATTCCTCCTGTTCGTATCACCCCTGTGGGAGTTTGGAGTCCTTTGGGTTAAAGATTGCTCAAAGGCAGCGAACAGCCAGTGGAGGCCGTTGGAGCCAATTGCCGGCGCGATGCAACAGCCAACTGCCGGAGCCTCAACATCCGTCTCTGGAACGAGGGCAGAAAGGGAGAACGGCCGAGATACAAGAAGCCCGATGTGCCGAGCATGCAGTCATTGGTCATGGATGTTGGGCCAATCGATCCAAGGGGGCGGGTAGGGCAGAACATGGGGCGTTTCTCACCCACTCAGTGGGAATCTTGAGGACTTGATTGAAGGGGGTGTGGTGGTCAACTGGTCAACCCCGAAGGTTTTTTGTCCTATTGAAGGAATATGAAGGAATGCAACAGGGCATGCTGCAGGATGTTTGACCGTTTGACCTATTATGTTAGTTGACCTCAATCAATTGGAGGAAGATGTTTCGAACTTTGTGGTGCTTAGATGTGCTTAGTGTTGCTCCTAGTTTTGCTCGCTGACGCTTCCCATGTCACATTCCCGGCAAGAAACCAACGGAGTGCGTGAAACAAAGAAGACCGCCTTCGCGGGTGAAGCGGCATCCCTGGGTGACCCCTTCAACCGCTCTGCCCGGTGGAACTCAACACAGCTGGTTTCTGGTCGTGGCGGCACGTCGGCATGGTGTCCCGAGGTCATTGGCTGCAGCACGCGGGTCGCAAGGCGATGCAGTCATCTCCTCTGGCTCGGTGCAGGGATCAGGGTTCTGACACCTCCCAACAGCAAACTAAGACGAGGGACGGACTTTCCACAGACTTCAGCTGTGGAATTCATTCGCATGATCATTTGTGCATGTTGGTTCCATGTCGTTTACACATGTACATGCACGTAGACAGTTTCATTAAACATATATTTAATACATCGCTTTAGCGTCTTTGGTTGTACCCTCCTTCTCCCGGGCCAAAAAACCCGTTTTGCATGGACCGCACGGCCAGGTCCAGCCGTCTCCCTGGCGACGGAGATCGACTTGCGATATCCACTGGCCCCGCCGCTTTGCACCCGAAGCCTCCGGCGCGACCAGGGTGGCTGGGGTCGGAGTGGGACAGAGGACCGGTACGGAAGGACCGGAAGGAGACATGGAGACGCGGATGCTGATGGAGTCACCTGAGGATGCTGAGATATGCTGAAGGAGTCACCATGAGTCACCTAGCTACCCCAAGCAACATCAACGAACCAATTTTTTTGGGGGGCCCAGCAATTCTTTTTCAAGATCAGGTCGGTTCAGGTTGATCCGTCGGCTTCCTCCGTTTCTTCCCTTTGGTTCCCTTCTCCAGGTGTCGTTCGGACGGACGTCACCTCGGAACGAGCGGTTGGCCAACAGAGGTTGAAGAACCCGAACTAGACTCTAGACTATCCCAGTTCGGTGCCCTGGTAGGGTCCTATAAGGTCACTTAACCTTTGTTGGGGTTGGATGGAAGCCCCACCCAGGCTGGTCAACGACATCGTGGAGGCGACGCTACGCCAAGCTCCACAGGCCTTCCAAGCTCCAGATCTCAGGACGATCCACGAGTCACGGTGGTTCCGGAGGTGTTCCGGTTTTTGGAGATGGACCGGAGGGGCGAGCTGGGAGGAATGTGTACATGCGCTTGAAGTTTTCCAGTTGCTTTGCCTCCAACTTGGATTTTTAGGGCTTAAAGCCCTACTTCACCCTCCTTCAGACATTTTAGTGGATTGGATGCCGTGCAGGTCGTGAGAACGTTTAGCAAAGGTCCCATTGCACACCCTAAATCTTCAGACGTCTGAAAGGTTTGGTGGATGGGCTTGGCCGTGTTCCTTTTCGAGCGGGCCTGTTCTGCTGAGTTTGTTGGGGGAGGGTAGCTTTCCATTCTTCAGCTGTTGACTTGTTGATTTTGTTGCTGGGGGGGAGGTAATAGATAGGGTATGATAGGGTCATTGATACAGCCAGGTCCCAATTAATTCTCATCCCCTGTCCACTACATATTTCCAGTGGGAACAAAAAGCGTGCGAGTGGTGGATGCAACGAACATGGCTGAGAACAACTCTGAACCATTCTCATTCGCAATTTGATGTCAATTTCTTCAACCTACAGACCAGCATCCATTCCACACACAATCATGAATTTAAAGGGCGTGTCCGAGCCCCATCAACAGTAACAGTGGATAAAAGATTAGCACTCTGAAGGCCTGCAGCCAAACCATCATCCACTGGGCCCTGGTCGTGGGATATACATGGATATACCTAGACCCTGCAAAAGACGTGTTTTCCTCTCCGGTGGGTCAAAGCTTATACAAAAAACAACACAAGCAGTTTTGGTGTCGATTTGTGTTACTTATGCGTTGATTTTTGTCACTTCTGCGTCATTTTGGCGTCATGTTTTCTATCGCGAACTTGTTGCATTTTTCCGCGTCATGTTTTCTATAGCAAGACGGGAAAAACGAGATCGTTTCAGAGTCCAGGTATATACCATGATATCCGGTGGGCTTCACCTTGTATCATCCCTATTTGGGGGGCTTCACCTCGTACGATGCTCAAGCGAGACCTTGGCTCGCGCATGCCCAAAAAGCCTCCCATACCGCGGGTGGATGCAGACCAGGAGAGATCTGAAGCCTCGCTTGCGGAACGTCATCATGGAGGCCTTGCATGGACCAGGTGCGCCCGATAGGCTGAGCGGCGGTGCGTGGGGACGGTCCTGGAGGATCAAACAGCACAAGGAGGTGAGGTGGGGGGTAGTGCACCTCACAAGCCATGTTGACCTGTTGGCGCTGTTGGGCGGGTGGAGACCCAAGACCGAGCTTTGGTGTTCTGGCTCTCTACTTTGCCACTGAACGTTCCATTGGACCTGGAGTCACCCTGTGTTCGTAGAGCCAAAGGGTCCTTTTGTCCGGTCCCAGTGTACGTTCTTCCCGACCTTGCGCCAAGGACCAGCAACTGGGCGGCTGCATTTGCGATGACACCCGAATTTCCACACATCCAAGTGAAACGCAAGGGAATCTTATTTAACAAAAACACATACGATCTATGTATGTCCAGTCGATTCAGTCGACGACCAGTTTTTGTTGGACGATCTCTCGAAAAGGAAGCAACCAAACAACCAAACATGTTTGACGCGAAGGAATTTTTATGTTTTTGGGCAATGCTTTGCTCAAGGAAAACGATGTCACTCTCCAAACCTCGGAAGAAGCTTGTCACGCATGTCACGCGTTCTCATGCCAAGCTCCCAAACACGCCGAGCTCACGTGAGGCCGCTTGTCCAGGCGAGGGGGCCATGCCACGATCTCCGAAGGGGCCATGCCAATGGGGGGAGGTGCCAAATGATCGGTCTTTATTTGCTGATATTTTAATGATTGTTTCTGATAGCTTCTTGTTACTACTAGTTAAGGCACTTGTTACGAACGTAGCGATGCACTTGTTTTTGTTGATTTCAGGTGAATTGGAAAGAGACCTGGGCTGCTTCAGCCCTCACTCCGCTCCCGCGGGACAGCCTTCTTGTGGAGTCGAGTTGGCCACTGAGCCGACTCCGAAGAAAGCAAGGCTGTCCATGAGACCTTGGGTCAAAGAATGGTAATCCCTTTGAACCCTCAGATGGTGCAGGATCGAGGGGTGATGACGGGTGATGTTCATGTCCAGGTGGACCGCGTGTCGAACTCGGAACCTGCGCAACCGTTGGAACGGTCCCCAAGACCTCGGTCCGGTGGTGTGATGACCGACCCATCCAAAGATGGTTACGTGTTGTGACTCGGCCCCGAAAGGAAGAGTGGAATTCCTTGATGAACAGTATTCCACTTCCATTAATTGTTGAATTGGGAGGGTACTTTGGTCCAGAGATGCACATGAGATGCACACGAGTCGAGTGCAATTTGTTCCGGTTCGATGCGGTTCCGGTTCGCAATCAGAATCAGCTCCCAGCTAAGCCCCCACCTCAGCGATCTGTCGTTCTGTCGTGCTTTTGGCTTGCTCGCCCTTGGCAGGTCGCAAGGGGCTGCGCAGGAGGTCCAGAAGGCCAGCAGATCCAGAAGGTCCTGTAGGTAGAAAACAATATAAAACAGCAACAAGCGATGATGAGACTCAATCGACCGTGATGTTATCCCAAAAATACATGCCAATGTATGGCTTCTTCGTTCAAACCTATTTTCAGGTGGTCCTGGACTTTTGATGACTTTTGTAGGGATCACATCCCTTCAGGTCCGACTAGGCTAGCAGATGAAACAAACCCAAGAGCTTGAGTGAATTTAGCATTCACATGTGCCGGAGGAATGTTACAATGATTCGCATGATTCTCCTAGTGGCCAGGGAGATCCCCTGGTTTTTGAATCCACAAAAGGATCCCAAAAAGGCTGTCCAAGTCTCGGACCAGACTGACACTTTGGAGACCTCATGCAACTGGTGGACTACAATGACTACAAAGAAAAAAGGGTTCTTGGTCAGGGACTGGTGGGTCAAGTGGGTCAACAAGTTGGGATGATGCCTTTGCATGCGGTAATTTTTGGTGACCCAGACAGTGTGTGATGTGAAAGATGGCAGAACTGCCGAAGACTGGGGGAGCAGCTTGAGCAACCAACCATCCAACACGACGGTGGTCCTGCTCGACAAACCGTTTGGCTGACAGAGTGAAGCTGAATCTGGGCCCTGAAGAGCGGACCACGAACGAGATGCCCCATGAACTCGCCACCATCAGCGGTGCGAATCGCACCCGTCCCACATCTGTGTCTTCCTGGAACCCAGAAAAAGCAGCAGCTTCGTAGGGCCTCGTGGGCGTTGCAGGACCGTGTCGTGCTTGGTGTCGCGTTGCACTTTGCGGAGGCCACTGCAGGGGGAAAAACGCCGCGCAGAACAAAAAGCACGCACGAAACCGCACGACAAATCTGACTGATGCCCAATCTGGGCGGGATGGAGGTGTTCAAGACCAAGTGCCAGGTCCCCACATGTCTGTCAAGATTGGCTCGGCCTGAGCCATCAGCGAATTGGAAGACTATCCAACTACTGGGTCTTTGGGTTTAGCTCTTCCAATTGGGAGGTTAGATGGGGTGCGCAAGCACCTTAGTACACATGCATGCATGTCTTACTCCATCTAATCGAGCATCTACCATCAAGTCTGTGGCAAGGTGTTTGAACCACTCCCTCGAAAACATGCAACCACACTATACTGCTTGGTGACTTATTACGACATATTACGACTTATTTAATCTTTTTGTTTTTCCTCTTGCAAGGCCTTAGTTTTCTCGGGCGGAGGTGGGCAGTGGGCAGCGGCGAAAAGTTGATCGCGAGAACACAGCCGAACTGTTACTAGGCGTTTCATATCGTTGCATAAAAGAGAACAACCAGCAAAGGTTCGGTGGAAGTCAACAATACAGATCAATAACGGATATATAATCAAGATTAGTCAAGGGGTTTTGAACTACTATAGTTGTTTGGCTTGTTTTGGTGGTTGACTACGGCTGGTCGTTGGTTTGGAGGTGTTCTTCTCATTCCTGCGGCTTGGAATGCTTGCATATTCGATGGTAGCCCAACCTCCAACCAGACAACCACCAAGCAACCAGACGTTTAAGCAAAAAAGTCGACGTTAAGTCTTCCTCTACAGTAAAGCCATAGATATAGCATGTTATAGCCATATAATGAATCACCCACCAGTATCATCCAGTATCACCTCTTCTGCACTGGGAAGACCGAGCTTCCACTCATCAACTCCCATGGACGACCTGTTGCCTGAGCGCTTGCTGTTCCTTGCCGATGCGCCGACCTGTGCGGCGCTGCTGCGCTGCAGTTGGCGCTTCGCGGTGGTGGGGCGTCGCGCGAAAGAGCGGCTGCAGCAGGGACTGGTGACCGAAGCGGCTGGGCGGCGACCGCGCGGCAGCACCAAGAAAGTCAAGTTTGCGCATGCGTGGTAGATGTGATAGCCAGACCTTGCCCAGACAGAGAGAGAGAGAGAGGAAGTGAGAGAAGGTTGTGAGCCAGAGCGATGAGCATACCCCGTGAGCAAATTTCTCAGTCGGCCCCTTACTGTAATTATAAACCCATCTTCCGGGGGCGTGCGCTCCAATGCCAAAACCATACAACCCCCTGTCAGGACTGAGTGCTGCCTCAAAGAGCGGGGGCTCTTCTCGGCCAAGCTCCACATAAACCACCAGGGGGTTCGATACTCTCCCTGGAACGTCCTCATGGTTACGTGGATGGCATGACCCCGAGTTCGGAAGACCATGTTCACCAACCAGGGGAAGATATGACTTCCATGTTAGTTCCAGAGAGTATAATTACTACCAAACGTGTTTCAGAGCATCGAAGATGATAGAACTGACATCCCTTACTGGCCAACCCCCTCCACTAACATCACCCATGACCCATAAGTTTTCTCGCGTTGTGTTCGAGGCCAAACCACATTGTGCGATTCTTCTTTTTTGAAGACATGTGTGCTTTCTCAAGTTTTTGGTTTGCAACCTCATCGTATGCAACCTCACTCCGGCAAACCTGGACATCACCCTTTCGGTGGGCCTCTTGGACGAGTGCTCCAAAATCACTATACATCCATTGGGCCCGGATCGCGGTTCTGCTCTGGGGATGAGAACGTCAAGGCCAAGCTAGATGAAGTTAGAGCTAGCTAGCCATTCTCGAAAGTCATTTTGTTACAAAAAGACATATTGAACACCGTCATACTATGAATGCTATGTCATCACCACTAGCTTGGTAGCGGGAGGGGGCCTCGGCAACAAAAACAAACGATGCCATCATTGACGGTCATTGAGTCATTGATTGCATCCCTGGAGCCCCTGTTTAAACTGAATGAGGCATCACCGCAAGAACAAAAGCGGTCATGTAAAGGTGACATAGGGCCCACAAAGTAATCTAATTATTGTAACCGCACACAGAGTCCGCCAATCCTGCTACATGCTGTTTACCCTCAAAACACCCTAATTACATAGAAAGTGGTCTACAAAACCTGATGAATGAATCTCATATTTGATTCTCCCTATGGCTACAAGTACCTCCTCAGAAGGTATGACTGGACCCGAACATGGCACCCGGGCCCCCAGTCCCACCTTCACCGAAACGAAGGAAACGAAGGTATGACTGGAGCATACTGGAGCCCAAACGGTTCTGGCATGTTCCATACCAAAAAGCACCCATCCCAGTCCCACCTTCGAAACGAAGGTACGACTGGAGCCCAAACGGTTCTGGCATGTTCCATACAATCTTCTTCTGACCACGCAGTTCGGACCGTTTGGTTCCCTTCCTTCGCTGAAAAACCGGAGGTCACGGACTCCTTCAGGTGGCTCGGCCTTTTTGGCGCCGGCAATTCTCGCTCACGTCACCGGGGTGGCTGGTGGGGCGGCGATGCGGTTGCCAGTCGATGTGTTGTATTGTATGTGTTAATTTGGGTATTCTGGAGCCAGTTGTTATATCGTACTGTTAGTTCTTTGGTACATTGGTATTTTTGCTTGAGTCATGGCCACATGCCGCTGCTCAGTGCAGAACCGCCGCTCACCCGAAACCTGACCCGATCGAACCGGGTTCATGGTCCGCCGAAGCACCGATCGGGTAACCGGTGTCCGGTGAGCAGCTCTCAACCATGCGCGAGACAGGTGAAATCCTCTTGGGAATCCATGCAGGAGACAGCTGAACTGAGGATCTGATTCTGCATCATTCCCAATGGACCTCAACGCAGTTTCCACCTCAATCCAGTCGCATGTGACCAACCTTTTCGATGATTGCTCCATGCGCTCTGCGCTCTTCAGACCACCATGCACCGACCTCGCCTCGCGGGTCTGAGGTTCTACGAGTTGCACATCACGGTGGTGCGTCCCAAGTTGCCGAATGGTGACCTCCATGGTCTCGAGAAGGGCGGCTGTATCCCCTACCGCGTGGGAGGGCCAGGAGAGGCCTCCTTCTACTCGGAGCGTTGGTGCCTCGCCGTCCGGCGTTAGAACTCCGTTTTGTTTTTTTTTGAAGTGAACTCCCTCTCGAAACTTGAAAACAAAGCACCTCAGCATTACAATTACTTGGTTGTACTTATTGTCAGATAGCACGAGGAGAAAAGAAACATGAAAAGACACCGATATAAAAAAGAAGTATCTCAGACTTCTGGTCAAAAAAACACACACCACACCACGAACTGAGTTCGACCACTGTGACGACCGGTGCCGACCAGAGGTGGTGTGAAGGGCACTTGCTGTCGGATTGCTTCTGGGAGACGAACAGCTGGAAGTACTTTGCCCGCTATGAGATGCACGAGCTCCTTGGGTTGGGAGGTCGGTGGTCGCTTTGAGTGACGACGGGAACGACATGTGACGCTGGGCCGCCCAGCCAAATGCCCAGACCACGGAGCAAAAAAGACGACATTGGGGACGACATTGTCGACCACGCAGCTATCATAGTTTCATTGGGGCAATGATAGCTCTCATGTGACGATCGGGGGTGTTGGACCTGTGATCAAAGGACAGCTCTCGAGTCGTCAAAACTCTTGGTTCTGACTCTCTGCTGAGTCAGACAAACTATCGTGTCGCTAAAGAGTCCAGCCCGGAGATTTTGAGTTGATTTTGGTATATACCTGGAACTTCGTTACGGCAATAATAATTGCCGTTTTCATGAAACGTCGCCTTTTTCCGTTCTGCGGCGTTCTTCCATATTGATCTCATGGGGACGGCGTTTCTTGATGAAGTGCGGCAGTTTCGGTCAGTTGACGGCAATTTTGGTCCACACATCCATGCGCCTCAAAGAGTCATTTCAAACATTTCGTTTTAGTTTTAGTGCAGGCGAGTATGAAAACATTGTAGGGTCTTGCTAGAAAGGCAACTGCACGTAAAAGGCGTCTTATTATATCAGCAAACTCGCATAGTCATGTGAAGTGGAAAGGGCAGCTGATGGAAGTGTCACATGCTGGGTGTTCGTCGGTTTTCGCGGGTAACTCGACCTCTTTGCGCGGCGTTGCAGAAGATTTTGCGTTTAAAGTTACGGCGTTCTTACCCGTACTTGCGGCGTTTTTCCCCGTACTTACGGCGTTTCTCCCCGTACTTACGGCGTTTTCCCCCTACTTACGGCGTCGTTCCCTTACCCTGTCTAGGGCCACTCAAGGTGGCAGCAAGACTTGTCACAACATGTCACAAGCGATCCTTTCAGCCATTGCATGATCAAAATGTGAACAAATCCTGCCGTGATGTCAATCGAGACCTTAGACAAGGGCTGCAACATCTTGAGAAGTGCTACCATGAGGCTTGAAAACGATGAGCTCTACTTACAAGTGAAAAAGGAGAAGGCAATTTCAGGGTATGGACGGACCAAAACAATATCCTCTTTGGTAGATCAAACAAAACGGCGATTCTTCTTTTGTGACGGCGTTTTCACTTCTCTGACGGCGTTTTCACTTTCCAGGGATTGAGCTACGGCAGAAAAAATGAGTTACGGCAAAAATCATTGCCTCAACAGCCTACGGCAAAAATTATTGCCTCGGGAGGGTCTAGGTATATATATGTTTGTGTTATTGGTCTATGTCCATAGAGTTGTTCCGATTGTTTAAGAGAATTCTCTCATCGCACGTGAAAGTTTGGCGGACAAAAAGTTGTTCGTCGTACTACTAAACTACTCGGAATTAAAAACCTCAGACCTTAGGACCAGGATTATGACAGCTTTTGAGTTTTTTGATTGAGACAAATCAATTCAATCTGGAAAGAGGCTTATTATGTCTTATTGTTACGCAGGAGAAAGTTGGGTTTCTTATTGCAATTGTTAAGGATAAAGTTCCTGATTGCACAGGAGAAACTCAGGTTTTATTATTGCTATCTAAGTGACAGTTGACAAGGAAAGCAAGCTGTTTATTGGCAGGTATTTATGAGTGTATGTATGTTTTAGGTCTTACTAAGGGGTACTTTTTGAGTCTGTTTGATTTTAAATAAGGATGCTAAAAAGTGTGTTATTGTCTTGAACTAGGTTTAAACTTTGATTTTGCTGAGTCAACATGTATTTTGTTACTGTCGTTTCTTTTTGGTTTTCATTTGACTATTGTTTAAGAGGCTTAACGTACGTCAAGTTTATTATTGATGCCTACCAATAACGTCACACAAGCTCAAAAACATGCTTTTTATGGTAGAACAGAAAGTGACGATTGCAACCTACTACAAAAAGCAGGTTCATTGTGGAGAGTAAGTCAGTTTTACAATTGTATTGACAGTAGTTGGTTCTTATAATTGACACTTTTTGTTTACATGTGCAATTGTTCAACATTGTTCAACTATGCTTTTATAATTGATTCGCTCTCTGTGTTCAACCTACTGACAACATGTTTTTTTGTTTATTGGCTTCGGTAGCCCGGAGAACTTGAGGCTCATGACTCATAACTCATTGACGGTGATGTGAACATATATGTATATGTATAGAGACATGTGTTTTTCATACTTACACCTAACTACAACTAGAACCCATTTCAATCCTGTTGTGACAGAAACAAAAAGGTATATATTTAGAGGTACTTGGGTTCTAGATGGTTCGTATATTATCTACAACGGCCCATGTTTTGATGCACACCCATGTTTTTTAGCGTCTTAAGACTCCGTCAGAAAAGCCGAGCAAGAAAAACCAGCTACAATTACAACAGGATGAATTCCTATATTTGGAAACGGTGCATGTACACTGCTTTGCTAGTTGCTTTGCTAGTTGCTTTGGTGCTGCGTGACGTGTTGCTTGAACACAAGACCTCTTGGAAAGGGATTGCAGCAGGATCACTTCTAGTAGAGCTGCAAATGTTAGGCTTTGGCCTTTTCAACGGAACAGGGGGGCAATTAAACCATATAGACTCATTCATTCTGATTGCTCAAACCAGCAGACGTCGGTTTCCGTCAGCCTTTCCAGCAGACCTCGGTTCATCACCGGTGGTAAGAGGACATGTGGTGGGGTGACTGGTGAAATAGACTGGCTTGTAGAAATCAAGTGCCAGATGTGTGGATTGTATATGGTAAGATCGGCCGAAGATGGTCAGACATCTCCAGTGTTTCTATTTTTCAACGGTCAACCTCAAGTGAATGCATCGATGAGCAACCGCTACGAAGGTTTCCTCACGTACCGTTTGACATGTGGCTGGACAAACGTGGGGGGTTCGCTCAGGATTTGTCAAAGCAAGGAGTACGAAGAACTGCCGAAGCCTTTGCCTTTGGAACATCCAAAGCTGCAATGCTTGAACCTGGAGCCTTGTGCTAGGGATATGGCTGGGAAAATCACGGAGATGCAACAACAATGCAGCCGCGCTAAGCCAAAGTTTGACAAATCCCTAAGTACATGACCACTCTCTGAACAGTTTTGGGGAATTATGCAGAATCTAGGGGATTTGGGAGCTTTCCCCAACGACCCACGTATTCAAGAATCTTCAATTTGATGACCTCTTCCTCCCAAGCCAGCGGAGGTGGTTTCAAACCAACAGGATGCAGAGACTTGGGCCCCCCCCTCAATCATGAGCAGACAAACCAAGAGAAATCCCTCAACATTGGGGCTCAAATCATCACGTCCATGCCCATCAAACTGTAATATAGCTGCAAAATCCTGCAAAAATGATCTTTGTGAATGTACTGTGAATGTATCAACTTCATACTCCGTGCTGGGGTGCAAAAACTGTGCATGTCTATCACATTCCCAGACGGGCGCAGCATTCCGCTGTGAACCCGTTTTCGCTGCGAAAACGCCGCTATTAGCCCGGCCGCATTTTAACGTAACATCCAATTGTTAAGACCCGGCAGGTGAAGTGGGTGAAACAACAACAAGCGATTGGGACACCTGGGTGAACGGGGGGGGCTGCCATTGACAGATCATATATAGACGTTTTGTTTTTGTTTTTACATTTGGGTTTCAATCTTCTTGAGGCTCCATGGCAATCGCTGTGCGTTGAAGGGTGCCCGATCATTAGCGGAGATTGTTCCACACAGCCGGGTGACATCCAAACACGCGAAACTAATCTGTTCAGTTTGCTGCTTCTGGAGCTGAGGACACCTATGGAGTGTTGCGTCTTGGATGAATCTAGAATCTAGATGAATCTACAGATGATATTGTTAAAGTATGTCCAAGAATCAAATAAGTTGGAGGCAAATATACTGGTAGTATAGGCCATTGTCAGGCTCTTTGACTCACGTTTTGTGAAAGCAGAACAGGCATGTTCGGTATTCACAAAATGGTCTTCCAGGCTAGGAGTCTATGTTCCATGCTAGTAAAGAAACGAGTGTATGTGTTTACAAACCATGCCACGGCTTTGGATTTTAATTATTTGATGGCAACGGTGTTGGGCTGGAGGTTAGTCCGACGTGTGCCTAAGCCTTTGGTAGGAGAGGAGAGAAGCGGCCCCTCTCCACAGAAGTCACTTTATCTTCCATATTGGTCAGTGAGGAGGCCGGTCGTAGCGATAGTGAAGGGTCTGGAGCCCTTTGTTGTTCCGCCACGTCCACAGAAGTCACTTGAACGTTGAACATGATCCCTTTCTGAGGTGTTTACGGAGACGCTTTGGTGAGACTGGGGAAGCAGAAGAAGTGTGGTGTCCGGATTTCTTGAAAGAAGATGGCAACCCAAGCACTTGGGACATGACGAGAATGGAAAGCGCCTTTATGGGACTTTGGCATTTCTACTGACAGCCAGGATCGGCCAAGTCTACTCACACTGTGGGGCAACTGAAAGGCCGGCCTTCCACGTGGCCAAGCCTCGCTCAGCCTTCAACCATCTTCAACCCTTCCAGCTGGCCTAAGATGTTGGCTTCAGAAACTTCAGAACGTTCGAACACAGCACAGCCTGGCATGGTATTGGAAGCCAAAGAGCCGAGCTGGTCGATGTGCCAAGACATTCTGATCCAGAGGGTGAGTGTGCTCCATGCCACGAACTGGAGGAGTGGCTGGGTGCAAAGTTGTGGCAAACATGCAGCTGCGTTTTCGATGAAAGATCGCAGGTTGAACCAACAGCTGGGTTTCCTCCACGACCACCTGTGGCGGAAGCTGGACGACACCAAATGTGGCGGATGGGTTCACTTGCGTGACTACAAGAGAACACCAGCCGCTGGGGGCAGACATGGACAGACACTCGGCGTGGCGCACGTGCGAGCATCGATCGCCCACTGGGTGGCAGAAGCGGAAGGCGCCTGCACAGGCAGCCGCCACTGGCAGTAGCTGATAGTAGCTGGCTAGCTGGCTTTAAGACGGTGTGGTGGTTCCAGATATGTCTATTTTCAACCTTTACTTGAGATAATTGAATCCACCGACAAATAACTCAAGTGGGTTGAAACCACCAACCAGATGCCTGTTCCAAGATGCAGACTTGGACTGTTGGCCGCTTCTCTTCGTGCCAAACGGCCAAAGAGACTGAAGAAATGGGCCGCGGCAGACGATGTTGACGCACCTCATACCCAGGAAAAAAAGTGGATAACCCTTAACCTTTTTGTTGGGGTGGAGTGGAGACACCCCACTCAACCAGAATAGGTCGAAAAGGGATGAAAAGGCTTCACCGGGATGTTCCAGGGACACGGCTCAGGAGTCTGGCGCCGTATCTGTCCAGTCACGGAAGTTTCGGATCCTGTCCAGTCACGTCTCGACCCTTAGAGTTCCAACCACCATTGATGTACATAGCCGCTTACCAAGCCACCATGGGTTTTTGCGGATTTGACACAACAAAAAAAACAGGCCAGCTCAACCATGTGTTTTTGTAAATCAAGAGATCGTTTTGAAAGGTTTTGGGTGGGGTATGCACTGTGCTTTTGCCGCTTTGTCGAGGCATGGGCGCATTTCACACGCGCAAGCAGGCAGGGCCCACTTGGAGTTGCAGAGGTTATGATGGGTAGTGGCCAGTCTGTCACTTTGTGCCCTTCTTCTTTCCCCGTAAACAGTTTACTGTTGGGGTTCTGTCTTAGAAAAAAGGACACCGCACCTATTCGGAAACCTCCTCACTTATATAATGGGGATATCTTCTGCTGGATTCCGAGAATGGCTGGAAATTCGTGGATTCCGTGAATCGACTTCCTTCCCACTTGAGGCTCAGCCACCCTTTCCTTAGGAAACGCGTGGCTATAGGAAGCCCCGTTCAGCAGCACCTGAGGTCCACCGACCGGACCGGTCCTTGGAACACCCGGTCGGTCCGTGGTCGGTCCTAGGCGGCAGTGTGCCCAAAACGGTTTGAGCCGAGATCTCTCCGTGTGGAGCCCGAGCGACCGGCCGGTTGGAGCACCGGGAACCGAGGCTTTCACACAGAGTTCTGGGTGGATGGATCTTGATGAGATGAGATGGCATGGTCTAGGGGATGGGAGATGGTGGATGGTTTTGGAGGTTGGCCAAAAGTGTTTTGCAGCTTCTTGGCTGTTTTCTTGGATGTTTGATGAATTGCCAAGTTGGAGCTAGCGGTTTGGAGCCGAGATCGAGATCCTTCTTTGGTCCCTGCCGAGGACCGATTGTTGGAGGCTGTGCGCACTTTCTTGGGCTTGGATGAGATGCCGGAGGAGAGGGCAGAGCAGGGCAAGGTGAGGGTGAGCCATTTGGAGGAACATCTGAGCCCATTTAGGCATCGAATTTTAGAGTCAATTACAGTGCAACAGTGCAACCGTTCCATGAAATGACCACCTTACTGTCACAGGATTTTCTAGAAACGATCGGTGACTGCCCAATGCTTCGGATGCCCCCAAACGACACCCTATCAATGTTGGTAAACATTGCAAACCATAGGCGGCTGCCCAATTTGATAGATGAATTTCATATAGCAGAATGCAATATTGACGCTGCCTCATTTCGGAACAAGTGGTCTGGATGACAATTTGGATGACTTTGGGATATGTTGGCTTCGGCCACATGCTTTTGGGTTCAGCAAATCTGTAGGAAATGAACCTGGATAGTGGCTTCGTTCTTTAAAATAATTAGGACATGTTAGGACCATGATTTCTCCGCACATCGGCCACCAAGCGGTTTTGCGGTTTGCGGTGCAGGGTGGTCCGAGCCAAGGAGAGTCCCAGCGACAAGTATTGGGAGATGCCGTGGGGGAACCAAGACCGAGACCCGTCCGAGACCGGTCGCCTCCAATGGGAAGCAAGTTGGGTACAGCAACGATGCTGTTGTTTGGTGCCATGTTTGGTGCCATGTTTGATCACGAACGGGTTTTCTTGGACATTCCGAACAGGGCATGTGGGGCAGGTCCAGGTCTAATTTTACAACCCTGACCCACGTTTACCCACAACACATGGATGAAGGTAGGGTGCAGTAGAGTCGATCCATACTAACAAAAAGGGTGAGGCTCAACCATGTTAAAAGAACCAGACAAACTTGGCGGGCCTAATCCAGCTCCAACATGTTCTGAATATATACTGTATGACGGAAATTGTGATGTCAGGATTAGTGCAACATGTCCCTTCCAGGCTCACCTCATGTGCTTCAAGCTCACCTCATGGGCTCTCTTTTTTGCTTTTCTGAGGCGGTTCTTTGAAGAATCCATACTGTTTGCAGCTTGAAGGGGTGGCTCAATGGGCTCAAGCCCTTGAGAGACGGTTAATATGGACCCCCCTCTACGCGATGTTTTATAGTTGCGCTTTCTTTAGGTGCTGCTGCATAGCGACATAGCATTCTTCGGAACTTCGCTTCGAGCACCACTATCCCTACTTTACTACCCCAATTTGTTCCATTCACCCCCACTCCCCTCCGCACAAACATCAGGCCGGACCAGCCGCTACAACCCATCGACGATCTACCGCCGCTGTTGTGTACACAAAGCAGCTGGGAGCAGGACAGAGCAGCCCCGCCCCGAGCAGCCTCATGGCCCAGAGAGATATGGTTCAGTGGGATTTGTTGCCAGTCACTCGCCAGAACCCGCTGAATTTCCAGCAAGGCTTTGTTGTTGGCGCGCGCAAGTACTTCCGCGCGGCTACTGCACAGAGAATGTGGCACTCTGTAGAGGAGAGTGTGCAATATAATTGACATGTGCCACCGTCATGTTGCTTTGAGTGCAGTGGTTGGTGGTTTCCGCTGTTCAGGAGGAGCTTCCGCGGAGATCCAGCTCCGCTTTGCAGGAGATCCTCGGTGACCTGCGATCGGATGGCAGAGATCCTCCATCAACAGGAGGATTCCATGTTGAGGGCACCCCGTTGAGGGCGCCCCGTTGAGGAAGCGAGAGCCTGATTAGAGCCAAGCGAGAGAGAGAGAGAGAGAGTCTAGGAAGGATGGCCTCCAACCTAGTAGCGTTGGCCTCCAACCTGGTAGCGATGGCCACCTACCAGCGATGGGCTCCAACACAGATCGGTCTTTGATTCTCGTCCAGCGGAGACCGCTCTGGGTCCAGCCTTTGAAACTGAGGCTGGAAACTGGCTTCCCCTTGTTGGCCTTACGGTTCCCAGAGCATTCCAGAGCCATTGAAATGTTCACCATACTCTTGATTAATAGTCCCCCCATCTGAATTGAAAAACCTACCGATACGATGTGGGGTTTTATTAATCAAGAGTCTACATAATTGGTCGATGTCGCCTTCGTTGAACTGATGATGTTTTCCGTTCAGTCCGCACTAGTCTCTGTGCAGATCTGGAATCATGGCGAAACACCACATCACCGGATGAGAGACCGAGACGCATGCTATAACGACCATGACGACCATGACGTCGACCTGTGTTGGGTACTGAACTTTTGTAGGATGAAGGAAGGTGATGGACAGTGGCGGAAGGGTGAGTTCCGGGTGGATGGAATGCGGTTTGGGATGGTTTGGGTCGCCTGGCTGTTTCGACCAGACACACTGTCTTCCTTGCACTGACAGGTGTCCAGGTGCTGAGAGTCCCCAGAGGAGAAAACCAATTAAAACACAATTTTTCGGTACAGCGGTGTTTCGGTGACATTGAAGACTCAAGGAAAAACATACGAAAACCATGTTTTGCAGGTTTGACCCATAGTTTACCAGATATAGTTTTCCAATATGGTTGACCTGGCAAAGAACTAGTTTGTTCCAACTTAATCCCCAAGTGTTTGTGGTTCCTTGTGGAATATAAGGATTTGAAGTCCTTTGGAGGCTTTCCAGAGGTTTCCGCTCAGCAGTGCCGGGTACTCAAGGAATTAGACTCAAGGAAGCTTCACAGTTCACGCCATGCTTCGGGTAAGCCAATCCAGGCCCCAAGATGGGCTCACTCCTTGCGCTTCCATCAGGCTACCAGTTCCAAACCCCGAAGAAGAGGTCTTGGACCTCAATCCTTCCAGCGTGGGGCTTGCCAAACCCCGAACAAGAGGTCTTGGGCCTCAACCCTTCGTTTGGGGCTTGCTGGGTAGCAGATCCAAACCCTGAAGAGGAGGTCTTGGACTTCAACCATTCCTTTTTGGGGCTTGGTGGGGCACCAGATCCTAGAGGTCTTGGGCCTCAACCCTCCCGTTCGGGGTTTGCTGCGGAATTGGAACGATAGGAGTGATGGAGTCCGTACACCAGCATATACATGGCTGGACAGCTAAGAAGCCATCTCACGTGCGCTGAAGGAAAGAAGCGCCATCAGAGGATCACAGTGTTGATCTATAACTC